ATATTGGACAAACTAATACGCGTTTGGCTATAAGGTAATGTACTTATTAACTACACAAGGTGCCAGTTACTGTAGCATTCGTTAAAATTGCATAATCAATGGTCGAATTATGCCTTTAATGAAGGTTTCTCTACTCTATTTTGCCTATTATTGCCGATAATTACCCGTAAATGCCGGTCAAATGCTCATCTGCAACACACAAGTACACCGCACGCACGCCCTTAGCTCCAGGAAACGGTATTGCTAGAGTTAGAAGACAATCGGTCGCACACTCAGCCTGGTCGGGCTAGCACGCCCTGTGCACAAACAACATGAATAAGAGAGTTCATGTTATTACTCTCTTATTCATGTTGTTTGTGCAGGTGCAAATCCACTTTAGGCACCTTAGGTATCACGAAGTGATGCACAGATTTCTGTGTATCATCAACTGATGACAGAATTTCCGTATATCAAGGAATGATGCAAAAACCCTAACCCTAACCCTAACCTAAGGTGCCTAAAGTGGATTTGCGCCGTTTGTGCACAGGGCGTGCGTGCGGTGTACTTGTGTGTTGCAGATGAGCATTTGACCGGCATTTACGGGTAATTATCGGCAATAATAGGCAAAGTAGAGTAGAGAAACCTTCATTAAGACTTTGGTAGTAAATACATTTCGTGTTTATTTACCTTTTTTATTTTTATTGAGACGTTCCAAGTGCCTGCATGTGGTTATAATTAAGCTTGGCGTGTAAAAAGCCGATTCGAAAAAGGGGCTAGGTAGTGAAGCTAGGCAAAATAACACCTGGAATGTTTTTCATTATATTTTTTTCAAAAAACCCATTCAAATTTGGAGGGTAATGGCTTATCTTTATTTATGCGTAGCCGAATTAACATACTCTCTATGACCGTTTCACGTTGTGAGTGGTGCTGTTGTGCCATGTGACATAGTGAGAAGCGAGAAGGTAACTTAATTGTGGCTAAGCGTGTCCTACGATGTGAAACAGCCATGGAGCCTGGTCGGGCTAAGTATAATCTACAAAATTAAATGGGTTTGGAAAACTGGAATGAAAGACATTTCAGGTCAGTTCAGATTTTTAAGGTACCCACTTGATAATAATAATTTACTTTATAAGGTAATGCTGCGCATTATGTATGACATCAAGTTGAGGAATGTTCTAAAGTAGAGAGCATGTGAAGACCAGCGAGGTGATGCATATATTCCAGCATGGGATCAAAAAAGCATATATGGTTTTATTACTATTAAAAACAAGAAATTGTCATAATATTATAGTGAAAGACCAACACAAAAAGAATATATATCAAGCATGTGTGTTGACATTGGGAGGGCCACTTGATTCGGTTGCCAGTGAGTTTATCAGAAGAATACCCGGCTACAGTACACGTCAGTTGAGCGCTGTCGCTTTGCGGCACTTGTTTTTAAACAGGCGCATATTCATGTGTGGACAATGGCAGTTTGAAAAAGCATTTGAGAATACACACAGATGAACGGCCATTTAAGTAAGTACGCATTTCTCGAATTTGTTCGTTGTTTAAATATAATCATGACTATTATATTTTATTTGGTGATAGAATCGGGAGTTTATGAAAGGTATATAATAAAAGTTAATAATAAGGTTATAAATAAACCTTCCTTTTACAAGCTCGATCCCGATAGAATTACGAACAAATTTCATGAGCAAATATAGTGGGTATAAAGAATCGAGTACATAATACGTATAATTCAGATAAACAGTATGTATGCTTACTAGTCTGATTTATTTTTGTATTACTTTGACTGCTCACCAGGTGTCAGATGTGCCCTTATGCGAGCCGCAACTCAGGCCAGCTGACAGTTCACTTAAGAACACACACAGGAGATTGTCCATTCAACTGCACATCTTGTCCTGCCAAGTTCAAAATCAAGTCTGACCTTAAGAGGCACATGAGGTGTCACACAGGGGAAAAGCCATACAAGTGTGATATCTGCGAGTATGCAAGCTCAATAAAAGGTACACTTGCGCTTTCTTAGGTGCGTGCGTGCGTGCGTGCATTCATGCGTGTGCGTGTGCGTGTGCGTGTGTGTGTGTGCAATGCTATAGCTATGATATGTCATCCCTGATGCGAGTTTGTAACTGTAGACGATTGAGCTTAAATTGTCTTGTGCTGCCTCATTCCAACACAGCTCTGGTCATCTGTGCTGCACAATGTGCATGCTGCAGTGTCAGTCTAAAATGTCTCGAATCACATTGGCGAACTTGAATTATCATGGCTTGATCATGTTGACAAAGTCGTGGGAGCACAGGACATCTGTTCACTCAGGCAGCTTCTGCTGGGTGTGTGCACTTTTAATATTGACTGGCGAGTCAACAGGAAATAAATCAATTTTTTGTTAGACAAGTCTGAAGTGACCAGAGCTGAGTGACAAAGGTCAAACCACATGTCATTGTCAGCCATATTTGATGAAAACACTCAACACCACTCGGCGTGGACAGCGAGTGTCATTTCTGTTGACGCCACTCACGCAACTGAGTTTGCCATGTCAGCGCTAATGAAATAGTTTTCGTTGTGGCGCTGCACGACGTTCCAACTGTCTGGGTAAAGTGACACTGTTGTAAATGTGCAAACAAATGCTGGGAGACAACACTGGTGGGGGTTAATGTTGGATTACCCGTTGTGTTTGACTGGCCATCACCATGTTTCTAAGTTCTACCGGCGGCAGATGGATCGAAAAATTGGTAAATAAAGTCGACCGACCGGACCTTAATTGACAGAGTAAATCCCGCTTTGCAGATGTCGGCTGGAATTTGTTTCGGCTGTTTCTGTTCAGGCGCAAGTCGTTAGCTCATGTTTGCTTCTTGGTGGCAATGTGGATCACATGAACACTATAAGATATCGCTGCAGTAATATAGTGACCTGTCGAAACGGGCTTGACTACCTGGGGCTTCTTCCTATACATTAAAAGTTATGAGAGGAGGTGTCAGTACTCTTTACCTGATCTGATCATGTCGACTTATGGAACAATTGAACATGGAATTCTAAAAAGCTACTGCACTTGGTAATCTGTATGGTACAGTAATGGTTAAACGTTGTGATTACCGGTGTAGTGTGAAAACCAATCTTTCCCTATAAACGAATAGTTAACTTGATTTTTTTCAAAAAGCACTTGAAACATTAGAAATTCATGCAGCATAAATAAGACAAAAACTAAATTTCCAAGGTATTTCAATAAAAAGTACATCTTCATTTCTGCTATATAGTTCATGCCACCTTCTACTTCACGTTGTGTGTGAGTGAGTGGCCCGCTCGTTTTTCTGCCACAGTAGAATAATTTTGTCTGTCAGACGCTATGAATTTATTGGGATAATTTTAGTTTTAGAGAAAACGTTTCCATGCAATGTGAAACATTCGGTGCACATTCTTATTTCGGCCGTTTTCGACCCGTTTGGAATGCACGACTAAGACTGCAGCAACAGCACACGTTGCAACGACGTCATCAGCATTTGTTCTTCCTCGCAGGAAATCTCAACAGCCACACTCGACTCGTTCACTGCAGCGATCAGAGCTTTGCCTGCGACCAGTGTCACTTCTCGAGCGGCACGCGCAAGGCGCTGCGCGAGCACCAGCGCAACCACAGCGCGATGCGCAGCGTCCGATGCCCCGACTGCGAGTACTCGTGCGTCACGCGCTCGGCGCTGCGCCTCCACGCCAAGGTGCACGCGAGCGACAAGCCGCACCGCTGCACGAGCTGCAGCTACGCGAGCAAGCACCTCGGCAATCTGCGCACGCACGTGCGCAAGAAGCACGAGGACGCGGGCGGCCGCGGGCGCGCCGTCGCTGGCGACCCCGAGCGCTCGCGGGGCCGGCGCCCGCGCCCGCGCTGCAAGAAGGAGTTTGCGTGCAGCGCGTGCGGCGAGGAGTTTGTGCGCTACGACTCGCTGCGCAGTCACCAGCGCCACCACCGCGAGACGCAGCTCAGCAGTCGGAGGCAGAGCGCCGAGGCAGCAGCGGCGGCAGCGGCGGCGAGCGATGACGGTGCGTGGGAGGCGGCCCAGGAGCGGGTCGCCTCGCCGGGCGTGTACGCGGCGAACGCGCAGGTCGCCGCGCAGCCAGCGACGAGTGTCCTCTCCAACGCCATTGCCGCAGCGGTGACTGACGTTAACGTGGGCACAAACTCGGCGACGACTTGCCTCGGCGCGCAGGTGGGCATGTCGCCGAACGTGCTGTGGATGCGGCCGGGTCTGCAGGGCAGCGGCGGCGGCGTGACTCAGGCGACGAGACAGCCGCACACCTCGCGGCAGCAGCTGGCCGAAAACGCAAAGGCCTACCGCGAGAATCACGCGAACCTCGCCACCGAGGACAATCGCCAGAACATGGCCGCCATGCAGACGGCCGACGGTTTCGCCCTCGCGCAGCTGCGGCCGTTTGCGAGCGCCGCGGCGGCGGCGCGCCAGCAGCCGGTGATGTCATATAGTGAAAGACCAACACAAAAAGAATATATCAAGCATGTGTGTTGACGTTATGGCCTATGGGTTTTATACAGACACCATGTACTTGAATAGGCAAAGTAAGCCACTAGCTCTACCTGTGGTGACCTTTGCTGCACCACTGGCTTCTTATAACAGTATCCAAGTAGAACTAAATGGGGGCTTATGTCTGGCTTGCGAGCCGACTCGACTGGAAGCAACTGGCTGCAATTCACTGCGACTGCAGTGCTTAGGTCGGTCGACTGTGACGCGACTGGCGCTGATAGGGTCTATGTCCCCCAGGGTACTATCGGAGGGTACCTTGTGTACGGTTCGATATATCGGAACGTACCCTGCTACTATCTAATATGCCGGACCATACCTCGCCTACTCCACTAACGAGTCTAGGGAGTCGCCTACGCCTACTCCCTAACCCTAACCCTAACCCTAACCCTAACCCTAACCCTAACCATATCAGATAGTTACCAGGGTACGTTCCGATATATTGAACCGTACCCAGGTTACTTTCCGATAGTACCCTTGGGGGACATAGACCCTATGAGCGCGACTGGCCGCCACTATAGTTGCTCGGAATAGAACAGTGGGCAACTGAACGCAACTAGTCGCTGCCGATCGCTTCCAGTTACGCAAAATTCAGTTGCTTCCAGTCGAGTCGGCTCGCAAGCCCGACATAAGCCCCCCTTTAGGAATATATGTTTGTGCTAAAGTGATTGATTTAGAGCAGGTAATTGTGGACTTTGTATTTACCAGTCTTAAAAATCATACCCCAAGTTGAGGCTCTGATTTTCAGTTCGTATTGGAATATTCTACTGGTTTGATGATCAATATAGATAATTTGGTACCTTAGATGGTATATTACTGTGTAATTTGCAGAAAAAAACGTGTAGAAGTGGAATTATTAGTTTCAATTGACAATTAAATCATTGAAAGCATTGGAATAATAATGGACCAAGCACAGAACCCTAGAATATATTCCAAATGTAACAGCAACCTCATCTGATCTACTACCTGTGACAAAGACAATTGATGGGCTATCCTTGATTAAAAATCCAGTGGTAACATTTTCAATCCTACGTGACCAGGTTTAAAATCCAAAGATTCTGAGATGCCTTGTTGAAAGTGTTAGTGAAGTGCAGACACACTACATCAACCTGTTGAGACATCAGTATTTAGAATCCAAAAATGAAGAACATTGAATAGCTTGGTAACAGTAGGCGGGAGAGGAGTAGAAGTTAGTCTAACTGGTTTTCTGCAAGATGAGAACATTAGCTGCTTGCTTTTTTCTCTAGCAGAAAGTACTTGCTAGCTGGCATAAATGTTAATTTTCAACCCTGTGATTGACGGAACATGTTGTGCATCGCAAGCACAAGCTTAAGAGCAAAGTGCTGTAAATTAAGACCAGAGACTTTAAATCAGAATTAGTGTAGGCTAATGTGAGGATATACTTTTCAGTTTTCAGTACCAAATAGACACCACTACGGCATAATAATTTTACTCATGGGAACATGCAATTTCCATTCATAGTAGGGGTAGCACAATAAATTGAGAAAACCGCATTGAAAGCTAGGTTTACCATTTTGTGACATTGCCAAACCCGGACAGTGGTGTAGCGACTTGTGAACCATCTGTGGATAAAGGAAGTATTTTTAGTAGCCAGGGACCTGCTGTCAGAAACATCTTTAAGTTAAGGCTAACGTTAATGCTAAGATAGCTCTTACAAATAATGTTAATGTTACGAGAATAGCGTTGATAGAAACGCAACCCAGCTATGAAAATTTGCAATAACAGGAACTTCATAGTTAGCTGTAACACGGCTGTACGTTGATTAGATGAGAATCTATCACAAAACTCAAATTCATACACATTTATTGTACATCACAGCAATTTATGCATATTATGATGGTTAACCACATAAAAGATGTGTCATGAATTTATTCTTCAACTGCAAGACATGATTCTGCACGGCAACACAAGACGCGAACGTCATGACTCATCAAACTGCAAAACTAGAACAAAGGCCACTTGTATACGTTGGTTTTTGTACATGATCGGTAGATAAGTAGTGTTAATGAATAATGACGTGTTTTCCAGTGAAAACACGTTTTACTATTTAATATAAAATATGATATCACTATAATTGAAATTATTTGTGTAATTGTGTTGTTTTCATCTTGGTTTTAAAGTTACGAGAGGGTCTAGAATCTTGTAATGTTTTGCTGGGATTTTTCATTCTCGTAACTTTACGATGTTTCTGTCAACATTGTAGGAGTCAAAGTTAATGTTGAGACTAAGACCCAAGGTATGCAATAAGTAGTATGAGGAGCAGCTGCATGACTAAACTGTTGAACTGTTTTATTCTATCAGAGGAAATTGTGTAATAGCAAGGGACAAAGTAAGTGCAGAGCTGAAGGGGAAAGTAGTGCATGCAATATGCAGTAAGAAATGTACATGCTGTGTGCGTTTTACTAGAGATATGCACATATAGACTTTTCTTCTCAAGTCTGACACTGCATTGTGAAGGGCCGTTGATGGGTATCCATGTGGCAATATATGCCCGGGAAGTATGTCACGAAACGTGTGTCTGATGTAATAAAATGCACTTTGACTCACTAAAGGTTTATCCAAAAGCACATTAGTATGACTTCTGGTTGCTGTTAATTATTATCTTATTATTTACCTGTTTAGGTACATCTGTGCCAGAAGACATCCATATTTGTGGAGCCTGTAAGATTCAGTTCAATGATGTCGAGCTGTTCATCTTGCACAAGCGTGAGGAAGACTGTATTGCACATGGGCTATCATCCACAGCTCACATGTCTGAAGCACAGCAGGTTCAAGTAGGTATCATGGTTTTATAGTATGCAATTGTGCTATTCCTCTATTAGCCTATCAGTTGTCAGGGGTGATGGTCAAATGCAAAATACCTGATTTCCCCTTAAAGTACAAGGTTTACAAATTATTTACAGTTGCATGGTTAAATTATGCCATGTACAAAATTTTGTTGCACAATATTTAGTTGAAATAATTGGGTGAATAGTCTAGCAGTGATTGTTTTTTCGTGTCTATTATTCCAGTACTTGTGCTGCTTTATAAGAGTTAAACTTAAATGCTTGACCAGTAAGTTTTGAGCCATGCACGACAGATTGATCATATTTCTTATTTGTTAATTAAATGAAGGAAGGATTATGTTCAATTATGCATTATTGATTATTGAATTATTTATATAATTGTTATAATTGATTATTGCAGGTGATTATTGTTCATTGATACATTATCATACATAATTAGAGTATTGATATGTGTATCTTGAATGGTCAAATGTATCGATATGTGTATCATTAAAGTTTCTATATTTACTATCTAAAAACTATTAATTTGCTAATTTAGTAAGTGTATTAAGTAATTCATCAAACGTGCTACCTTGCCAATTTAATTGTAAACATTCAAACCAAATTGATAACCAAATTGATAAACCAAATTGATACCTGTCATTGATAAGTGTTATTTCATCAGGTCAAGAGCAGATAAAGACTCACCTTCTTTATCTGCTCTTGATCAGGTGTATCAAGGACAAAGCTCATCCCTGCAGACAGAGTCGGTGGTTCAAAGCTTCACAGGTGAGCTGGAGGTGGAAAATGTCACAGACCAGATCAGCCATGATGACAAGTCGGTGCCCACGACTGCACCAATTTCGTCCATGTCAGACACTCTGGCTGAGCAACTGTACCTTTCGACCATCGTGCAAGATACTGTCATGCATTCAGATAAGAAATCAAATGAAATTGCAAATGACAGTTATGTCATCATCAGGACAAGTGAAGATCCAGTCCAAGTGGACACTACCACTTCAGCAGTCCTGCAAGCACCTGATTCTAATGCATTGTTAAATGCTATACACGTAAGCAAACGTTTCATTCAGTTTACAGGTTAAAGGACAATTGAAGTAGAATTTTCTACCTTCTGTAACGTTTTTATACATAGAAATACATTCAATAACGTATTCCATTTTCCCCGCCCCCGTTCTAATGTATACTTGGAGATTCCATGGTCTCATCATGTTGAAATCTTTTATAGATAGATAAAAACTAAGATGAGCGTGTGAATCTATGACACAAATTAGAAGTGAAAGGCAAGGCATCATTGTAATAGATCAGACCAAAATGCGAGCATGGGGGGGGGAGATAGTGAGCGGTCGCTACAACACATAGTTTACGCGCCTGCGTATCTGCATGATACTGCGCGCTAACAGAATGTGATCAACTACCACGACTGGAGATTGTAGCGTGTCATGGCGGCGTGGCGCAACAGACCCCAGTATGAGCCCCAGACGCCGTCCTGGCGGCTCTTGTTTGATATTTGAAATTCAGTGTTATTGAGCAATATCAAAAAGTTTTGGCGGTTTGCGTCAAAATCTCTGCCTTAATGGCGAAACAACCGAACTTATTGTCTGCCATTGTCAACTGTCGAAAGAGTGTGGTTTGTTTTGCTCCAATCCAATATGTTAATAAGTACGCAGTAATAGATTGATGTCAGATATATGTAGGCATTTTCTAGATTTGCTTTCTACATTATAATAACAAATGAATTATTGTATATATATATATATGCATATACAAACATGCATGCACACACATACAAACACACATGTATATGTATATGTGTGTGTATGTATATATATATGTAATATATATATAATATATATATAATTAGATATAAACCGTGTCATAAATATTATGTGGTTAATGTATAGACTCAACAAATGTGACAGCAACAGAGCCAAATAAAGACTCCCCTATTGATGCAAAGAGTACAATTCAGAAGGTTAGGTCAAACCAACAGAGCAGCCAAACATCTGCAGGTAAGTTGAGAGAGAAATTTTACAAAATGTTACATAGCATCTATACACTCAGTAGCATGTTGCCAAGAATAAACACTGGTAAAAAAGAAGTACACTATGCAATTACGGGGCAAGAAGTGTTTTGTTTAAAGGTGTAATCTAGCGTGAGAAAAGAAGCACAAAATGTTTCAATGTGTGGTGTTCAACATGCAGATCCTTGTCGTTTTTATGCCTGATCTGTCCCCATATATGTAACTAATGTATAAAGGATAACCTCTTAGGTTGATGAGATACAACATCCATACTTTGCTGATATCTTTCATTACATAAGTTTTTAGCTGTCATCTGACGAAGTTCAGATGCAGCGCTTGTAGGAATCGCATTATCGCGATGCGTACGTCCTGTGCGTTCCGTCCGTACAACACAGTTTGGGCACAAATGCCTAAACGTGCTCGACATACGGATTTCGAAGTCGGACGTGGGGGGTTAATCGCGAAAACGAGTTGGGATGGTTGAAGCTGGGGTCCAGGCAAGAAGGTGTCAAACAGAAGGGGGAACATTCCCTCCTAACTTAAGGGGTAGACGGAGGGATAGACTGCACGGCCATTGCTGGCACAACATCTAAACGGCTCGACCCGATAGGGCTCGAGGATAGTGCGGTGTATAGCACATGGGAGGAGAAGCCCGATCGAGTGTGCGATTGAGGTCACAGATCACGAGGTCAATGGGGGAGCAGGGCAGATTTTTGACATGTTTTCTGAGGACATGGTCGACAGAGGCGAGGTTGAAAAACTTTTTTGTTTCAGCAGTGACCTACAGTGTGTGGTGTGATGGCTGTAGTGAGGAGCGCAGTGGAATGTGACTTTCGGTGCTACAGTGCGGAGAGAGATGGATAGGAGGGCTGGTGAGCGGGCCTCAAGAGGAGGGTTAAAATGGATTTGTGTGACGTTAACAAAGGACTGACTGCTTTTGCTATAGGTGGATGTGAGGCTATACAGTTTGGCACAGTTCAATTGCAAACGGCAAATGTGTGTGTGACCAAGGATTTTGACGCTCCTTTAAGATCATATTATTTTTCTAAAGCCCAGTATTGTAATTAGCCCTGAGTAGCACCCTGGTATTAGCACACTGGTAATGAAGCACGGAATGCTCGCTGTGGTAGGAGCAAACACATGGGGCGCGCCCATCTACGGCGCATGCATCGGGGGGGTGGAATACCTGGGCTATTTAATCGATCACAATTGATTGCCGGGGTGTGGCACCAGCTGCAATGCAGATGTGCTTAACTCACAGCTGCGGCGAGAAGTCTCGCCTGTCCTGAATGAGTACGTTGGATTTTTCAGGCAACTCAATGGGAGGTGATGGTTTCGACCAAGACAGGCTGATAGCGATCTTTGATTGGGAAGCCACTTGCACGCGGGCGATCGTCGCGGCAACTGCTTGTTGGGCATTAGGCCCCTCCACAGAGCCCCGTGGACCCCCGCACTCGTCACCCAGCTCTCCAGAGGTGGAGTGGGCGGGGGGAGGGGTGCCCGTCGGGGTGGAACTTGGTGGGGGGGCCACGGGGGTTGGCGGGGGGGGGCGAAGTAACCTGGATCCGCCACGTGTGCCGATGTCTCGGGCCCCATTTCCCCCACGCTACCCCACTACGGGACGGAGGCGCAGGTGAGCGCATATACATAGATGTGTTAATATAGGCGAGGAGTTAGCGATGTGAGAGTTGACAGGGCACAGCTGTATCTTTATTACTGTCTACCGAAGGGCAAAGCCAATAGTGAGAGTGAGGATTTTGAGTGTATTAGTATGATCGCTAGATATGATGCTCTGGACGGGCCGAGTGATGTGGAGGGTGCTCTTTGCATTTGTGTGC